ACCCTGGTATGTGTATATGTTAAAGAAAGAGAGATATTGTGATGTCAGTATATTTTATCTAGTATAAACAGGTAATGCAACACATTGGTTATATAAGCGCTGTACATTTCTATGCAGTTTTTCTAGCAAAAGTGGATATTGGCTTGCTGGTAGATGCAGAGAGCCCCTAGCAAAGATTCTATTATTGTCTTATCAGATATACTTGCAATGCAGTTTCGAGTAATGACTGGAACATCTAAAGTGGCGGTTTACATAACAAAACAGCTCTCAATACCCTCAGGCTTTTAAAAGTTTATGAGGAATCATACAAATTCCTCCATCTGCTGCAAATGAAGTTTCGTGCAATTATTTGTCTGAGTTTATCTCCTTGTCCCTTTATAACTGTTATCCATTCATTCATTTCAGGCTGCTGACTCACCGCTTTCGGCCACCCCTTTTTCCGTGGTTCTTCTTTTTTTTTTTTCTCAAAATGCTCTCTGAGTGCAAAGCCACTCAGGAATCGTTCATAGAAGGACAAATTAACTATTTGTGCGGCGTTAAAAATACATTATCTTTTTCTTCTCCCAGAGTCGGCCCCCTCCCTCACACCGCTAAATGCCCTGAGGATAGACCTTACACTCACACACTCTCACATGTCCCTCGGCTATTTTTTAAACATTAAGCAGCCTGCTGCGCTTTTTATAGAAACACAGATATGACTAGGCTTGGACTCCTTCAGATCAGATTGAATTCTTCCTCGGCACCCCCCAGTGACTGTGGGTTATGAAATATGGATTATTTCCAAGCTCATATCTGTAGGTCTCTATCGCTTGAAATCCACCTCAGCCATGGTAGTCTAGCAGGGGATTCCCTTCAGATTCTGCTCTTAGCCTCTAGTGGAATGGTTCAAAAAAGTCCTCTTGATAATTCACCTTAATATTTATACCTCTCTTTTTTGTTTTTCTCTTCTTTACTCTTTCATATTATAGCTTTAACCCTCATGTTAGGATGAAATTGACTTGTTTTTAAGCTTGAGGTCACAGGTTTGGCGTCATTCAGAAATCAGTTGAGAATATCTTAAATTCCAATTCAAGCCTTAAATTTGAGTTTCAATGTAAGGAAGTAGGGTTAAAATGAATTTAAATTCTAAGGAATCCATATAACTGTAATTAGTTAGTAAAGCAAAGTTTGTAAATACAAACAAAATGTTGGCTTGATAAAACCCTGTTCAAAAGTTTAGATTTTCTTTTAGTTACAATATAGTAAACCACTCCTTTTAGGAATGTGACTGGTATCCTTTCCAGTAATGTTGTTTCTGTTAGGCCTCAATTAGACCATTCAATATGAAGCTGAGAGTATCTCAGCGAGTCTTAGCATCTACAGTTCCTTGCATTTATTCATGGTTTATATCTAGGCTCTCACCCTAAACATGAGTAATGGAACATTTTATAAGACTTCAATATTTTTTTCAAGCTATTAAATTGCCTTAGGCTCTTTTAGACTCCTCAACATGAGGGTTAACTCCAGTCTTTGCTTCTCTGGTTCTCTCTGTGTTGCACTGGCGTTAACCTCCGTCTCATGCCTCACCTCTTCCTTTCCCTCCTCTTTTTATTGAAGGACAGCTGGTTGATTTGCATTGCTCTCTAGGAAAGGTTTTGTGGCTCTTAAAGATTAATTAAATCAAACCTCTCAACCATGTTTGGTGCACGTCAGTGCATACAGTATACATACACGCACACACGCGCGCATAAATGCTAAGTGACTGGGGATTCTGTGGGTTGTGAAATATACAGTATTGTTCCTCAGGACCAGGGAGCACAGCCAGGCTGCATGTTTCTAGAGCGATATGTGAAGCGGCTGGGTTGGGGTCACACCAAGCTGCCTCAACTGCCAACCTCACAGCATGCATATTTTACACAGTCGACTATACATAACTCGGTCTAATGAAACACTCTCGATGCCTGCAGGAAGAGTTCAACAGCACCTTTCATTGCTTTTGCAGGCCCTTCAAATGAATTAACATCTCTTGTGGGAGGTTCCTGACTTGTTAGAGAAGTATATATATTCACATATATGTGTCTCCTCCATGAGCACTAAAGCTCAATTATTATTAGGCCACAGCTCATATTTTCAAATGAATCTATTTTACAAGTCATATTGATGACATATTGATGTATTACTACGGTATCTGTCATAAAATAGCATTATTTATTACATTTTACACAAAGATGAGTAATTTCAACCTATTACACTAGGCGGGAAAAAAACTTTGGTCATAATTAATTAAACAGAAACAAGAATGACATGCTAATTTCTCTGTGACAAAGTACTGATGTGAAACACTCGGCTGAAAATCTCATGATTGATTATGGAATATTACGGATGTTCGTGCTGAGCTGGCATTATTCATCTCTGACTCATTGACTTTGACTAACAGGAACAGACACATCTGCACGGCGAACAAGTGTGCAGTCATCTGTGGTTTGATCAGAGCCATGTTTGCACGGAGATGAAATCCATCGCAACAACATGTGTAATTACTTTCCTCCCTGCCTCTCTGTCTATCTTTGGTGTAGCTGTCATTGAGCAGTCCTTCAGATTGAGTTGCATAACTCTCTTTCAGTATCTCTCGCTCTCTGCTTCACACTTGGATTCCATGTAACTGTACGTTTGAAATGTTTCATTAGTGTATAGTTTTGCATGTTAATTTTTAGACTGTGCTGTAATGATGCAGCAGCAGGCTTATGATGAATAAGACATGCAAGGTTGAAGGATGAAGAGAGTTTAATGGCTCTGTGTGCCGTTCTTTGTTAGAAGGCCAGTTTGTCTGACAGCACCCAGGATAATAGCAGCGCACATACAGTGTTATCTGCCGCTCGAAATGCTAGGGAACATGTTTGATCTCAGATGCCACACAGATGGGCACCAGACTCCAGTCTGAGATCCTGGCACCAGTGAGGACATTCTCTGCTCTCTCCTCCTTACTTCATCTACTCCTCCTATCAATCTCTCCATCAATTTCCTTAGCAGCACTTTTGGCTTATCTCTTCTCATTTGTATTTGCTTTTCTTTATTCCTATTTCTTTATTTTTTTATAAAAGTGATGACTGAATATATGTATATTATATACAATATAAGCATCAAGATGTCAAGACTTAAAATCTATTATCATTATAATGACTTATTCCTAAGAAAAGGGGTAAACAAAATAAAAGAACATTTTAAATTGTTTTTAATAACAATCAGCCTTTTAAATTGTTCAACATTATGTGATGCATTCTGTTCTGTCTATGAAACATAATAATAATTTATTCCAGTGATGGTATGATCAGTCTTCAATATCACATACTACTCAAAAATCTGCTTATTTGGTTCTCCAAAAATATTTAGTATTTTTCTCCATAAATATTTATTGTTTTTCTGTGATGTTAAACAGTTAATATTTATGTGGAGACTGTGATGTTTTGTTTTCAACCAAATTCAAAAGAACTGCATTTATTTTAAATAGAAATCTTTTGTAAAACTATAAATGTTCTTAGTGTAACTTTTGATCAATTTAATATGTCCTTGCTTCCAAAAAAACAAAATTGTTAACACAAAACTGGTACACTAATATGCATTAAATAATGCTTAACTAATGCACAGATAATCACAATTTAATGTATAACTCACGAATAACTAAACCATTTATTAATGATTACTGCATTAGCAACAAATGAACATTATATATGATTCATAGATTAAATAATCAATAAATTGTTATTAGTTAAATGTGTCATAATGTATTAATTCACTAATAACATATTATATTAACTAATGATGTAAAGTCATAACATAATAATACCTTAGCAAATCATTAGCTAATGATCAATTAAAGCAGACAACTGGAAGTTGAAATGCATGGCTTCGACCCATTGTGGTAATTAACACATGAATTTACACTATTAGTTAATACTATATGTTATTAGGGAATTAATACATTATGACACAATTAACTAATAACAATGTATTGATTACCTAATCTATAGAATCATATAGAATGTTCATTTGTTGCTGATGCAGTAATCATTAATAAATTGTTTAGTCCTTCTCATGAGTTATACATTAACTCATACTTATCTGTGCATTAGTTAAGCATGAATTAATGCATATTAGTGCCACCATATTGTAAAGTGTTACCAAAAACACTTGCTGATCCCAAACTTTTGAAAGATAGTGTCAGAGAGTTTTAAAGTGATTGCTGTTCATACACATCATCCCCAATAGACAAAAGAACTCATAAAACACGATTTAAAGCCCCATACTTAATACTTGCATAATGGTATCACTGGTATCAATTGTTCATTTTAAGCAGATGGCAAATAGGCCATGAAACCATACAGCAGTCTATTTAAATGTGCTTTGCCTGTTAGATTGACTCAGAATGTTGATTATAATAGAAAAGGTGCATTATTTGTGCTCCTGGAAGTTGTTAGAACTTTAGAATGATCTGCAATAATTAAAGGTGCAAACATTTTTAGTTAATTTTTGTAAACACAACACAAACTCTTTGCGGGTGAAACACCTGCCTCAACATGATATCAGTTACCAGAACACACGCAGCTCAACTGACTCAAGAGACTACCTGAGGGAAGATTAATGATGTACTTTGCAAATGTTTTTCCAAATATAGTGTTTATGTTTTGAGCATATAAATAAACAGTTGCACTAACAGTTAGATGATTGACTATAATTTGCGTGTCATTATTGGCTGGGGGATACAAAGTAGACTGTAGACACAAGAATCACCTGGAGACTATTTGGAGGAAAAAATAACTTTAACAAAAGCAAACTGTAGTCGAGCGGTGTGTTTGACCAAGCACACTATCATTTCTATGCATATTATGTTCAGAGACACTCTACTGACGGTAGTAATGGTTTTGTAGACTGTAGGGGAAGAGTTAAATCCCTATTCCTTTCATTTCTGCATTCCTTCCTGCTTCTCCATCTAATGAGCTCGACCACCTGCTGTTGAAGTTTACCTGTTTATGTGCGTGGTCATATGAGTTGATGTGGTTGTCAAACTCCTGATGTTTATGGTACTGCTTGTCGCATAGTTCACAATAGAAGTTGGCCTTCAAATCCCCCAGGGCTTTTGCAATGGCTTTCTCATTCTTAGCGTAGTCCTAAAAAAGAGAGGGAGACAAAGAGAGAGAATTGTTTATGCATGTAGATGCTATAATCTAATTAGACAACTGCTCTTGAAAATCACACAGTCCTTTTCTAAGAATAAAGTATTTCACTAACTGTTGTTACGTTCCCAGTTAGTGTAGGGTTAGAGGAACAGGTAACAGAATAAAAAGGTGATGTGTGGAGGCAGCAAGGTTCAATTCCCAACCCCAGAGCTTTAACAAAGGCCAAGAATCTCGATATCAAAACAAGTTATTTTATTTGACAGATATGGGAGGATGTCAAAACTTCAAGAGGGGGCAAGGCCAAAATAACAAACATAAGCCCTCTAACTATTTGGGATAAACTAACTAAGCTATACAAAGAAAAGAAAACAAAACAGATAAAGCAGTTTTATTTTTATACTGTCTTATTCTGATTGAATTTGATCATCAAGACAGTCCTCGACAGGCTAAAAGAACCTGATGAAATCAAACAACCCAGCCACCAAAGTATGTTTTTAAATGGTTAATATTTTGCTGTAATTACTAGTTTCGCACCAACAACACTTTTAAGAAGATACTTGAAAGTGAGTATAGCTGGGTTACTATGACAACATGGTCATCAGTTCATATTGGTTGCAGGATGAATTAACAAACTGAACTGCTCATTGTGATAATAAGACTAGCGCTAATGGTTCGTAACTACTTAAAAGTCATTTTAACACATGAGAAACATTGTTGACCTTGCCTTCTTTGTATACATCACTTTATTGAGCAATATTTAACAATTACCTATATTTTTTTGTGAATCTCACTCTATTATTTATTTTATATATTAATATGTCCAGATAGATTTGTGAACCATTAAAAAATTAAAGGGACAGTTCACCAAAAATTATGACAACATGGTCATCAGTTCATATTGGTTGCAGGATGAATTAACAAACTGAACTGCTCATTGTGATAATAAGACTAGCGCTAATGGTTCGTAACTACTTAAAAGTCATTTTAACACATGAGAAACATTGTTGACCTTGCCTTCTTTGTATACATCACTTTATTGAGCAATATTTAACAATTACCTATATTTTTTGTGAATCTCACTCTATTATTTATTTTATATATTAATATGTCCAGATAGATTTGTGAACCATTAAAAAATTAAAGGGACAGTTCACCAAAAATGGAACATTCTGACATCATTCACTCGCCTTCATGTCATTCCAAACCCATAAGACTTTGGCTAATCTTTGAAACAAATGAAGATATTTTTAATGAATGCTGAGAGGTTTCTCTCCCTCCTTTGAAAATAATTGTAAAAAAAGGAATCCATATGAATTAAGTAGTTTAGTCCAAGTCTTCATCATCACTTTTATACATTTTTTAGATCTTGTACATTTTGGTTAACTGACCAATCTCAGAATTAAGATTAAAAAAGTGCACCCCCCTACAATTATTAAAGTTGTTCAGAAATGGCATTGATGGATCACCATGTAACATTCACTAATAACATGTTCAGGAGTGTACACGCACACACACACACACACACACACACAGTACAGGCCTAAACTCTTCCTCTAGGGAATGTCATCTCTTTTTTATTGCAAACTTCACATGAGATTCAGCTAGCCGGTAACTTCAAAGGCTCCTGCGATTAATTCAGTATCAAAAGTCTGCTTATACAGACCTCAGGGAGCGACATCAGCCATACAAACACATTGTGCAGACTGCGCCGGTACACACAGACACACATAAGCAAAGAGTACATCTCTCTGGAGCATCATTACCAGAGCTTTCCCATTCTGACACACAGACAGCACAGCTCAACATTTACTACAGGAAAGCAAGGTGGAAAAGGTCATTGTGTAGCAGCTCTTTAACTCTACACTCTTATTAAGTTTGACAGAGCGTCTGATCAAGGACTCCCTTTTGAGATGGTGTCGACTGAAAAGGGAGAATTCTTGTGTAGCATAGCACTGCAACAGTTTAATAGAGCTTGTTAACAAGCTTCTACATAGAGAAAATTGAAGTAATTGTGACAATAATACTGATAATGTGCCTCATAATTGGCCAGAGGGCCTCTGCATCACACGGCCCTGCAGCGTGTGGGAGCGGATCATGAATGAGGTGGATGTGGATGTGATGCAGTTAATAGGCCATCAGGGATTTTGAGGCACACTTTTCTGCTCACAGAGTCCATCCGTGAGCAGAGACAACATGAGATGTCAAAGCAAAAGAACATCATGATTGACTGCTGACACTCTGGTTGACACACTTGGTATCTAAAATAGGGACACACACACTCATACAAAATTCTGGGGACACTATGATTTTAAAATATATATATAAATATATTAAGCAAGGATGCATTAAATTTAACAAAAGTGACAGCAAAGACATTTATGTTAAAAAGGATTTATATTTAAAATAATTGCTGGGCTTTAGAACTTTTGTTCAAAACAATATAACAGTTTTCAGAAAATATCAAGCAGAACAACTGCTTGTATCTCAGTCAAATATTGTCCTATCCAAATAAATACATCAATGGAAAGCTTATTTATTCAGCTTTCAAATTATGTATAAATCTCAATCTAAAAAAAATTTACTCTTATGACAGGTTTTATGGTCCAGGGTCACATAACATAACATAACATAACATAACATAACATAACATAACATAACATATACATAAGTCGACGCAGGTGTGCATACGCGACAAAATTAAGTTGTGTAAATAAGTTCAGACCTCTCATTTGTGCAGTGACAAGGTTGACAGCTGTTAATGCACAATTACTAGGATATTTTAGATCGACAAACTGTAATACTGTATAAGATTTCAATTTGATTGAAAGCTATCCGCTGCCGTTTTCAAAGCACTGTGAAAAACTGTGACATTTCACTCACTGACGCTCTTCAATCGGCAGCACATATACTTGCCGGCAAAACTTTTAAGCTTGAAAATGATGAATTAATATTTAAAAAAATAATCATAAATATTAGCATTTTATTTTTAAGTTTACTATGAAATAATTGTATTTTTATTTAATACTCCCCTTTTATTTTAAAATATAATAGTATTATCACACTTTTTTTATTTGGTTTAAAAAAAACTAACTAAATAAAGTGCAATAATATTATTATCACTACTATTACATTTTTTTTAGTTATATTTAATGGGTCACACTATCCGCAGTGTGAGGACCAAACCAAATCTCCAGATGAAGAGTTTAGTTCCAAAACGCGATAAACGCCTTTTTTTTTTTTTTTTGAGTTTCCGCCAAAATCAGTATTGTATCTGGTCAGTACTGAAAAGTCTTTTGAAAATTCATTTTTAATTTTACGCAAAATGCGATATCCGCCGAGTTATTCTGTCATGTTTTCTCCCTTTTTTCCCAAACCGTGACAAACGCCAGTCTCTCTTTTCTGCAGAATGCGATATATCCGCTCAACCAATCACAGCGCACCATTCCACACACTGTAAACAGTAATGGCGGCACTTTGAATACACCCGGCTTCCTAGTTTTCCTCATCTATTTTGTCCTTTGTGATCAACAAACAAAATTAGGGCTGCACGATAAATCGCATGTGATTGTCATGCGCATATCGTCAGTAAATTCGATTCGATTCAAAACAATGCGATTCGATGCAATACGATGCAATGGAGAAATTATGATCACTTTTAATGCCCCGAGGCCTGTTTCATAAGGCTTATTTCAGTTAATCTGACTCATTGTCAAATTATTTGGTTCCATAAAGCAAATTTAACATGGGCCTAGATCAAGTTTAGTCACTGTGGCAACTTATGCTGGGAAACTAACCTGGTCTAAAGCAGGTTAACAGTCAGACTAAGCGGAGTTCCTCTAACACTGACCAATAGGAACCCAATGATATTACTACTCTCTCACATACTATTATTTGACTTTTTTTTTTTTTTTTTTTTTACAGTTTCTAGCCATACAGCCTTTCTCTCTGGTTTTATGACAGCTGTACCTTTTATAGTTTGCAGAACAGATAGTAGACCATTAGAACATTACAATCTAAAATGGCTCTTTAAAGCATTAAAATAACTAAATTAAAAGTTAAAATCACTGAATTAAAAAGGAAAATAAATAATAAAGAAAATGACTATTTTAACTGAGATTGTGTGAACTTAATTTGTCATTTATGGAACCGCTTTAGCCCCGATTGAATGATTTGTTAGGTTATTACAAATCAGGGTCTCCGTGGTGTTGTGATGCATCACAATCACCCAGCAGCAGTGATGAGCAGTGTTGCCAAACCCCTCCCTCAGAAAATCTCTAGAACCACCCTCTATATATATATATATATATATATACACTTATATATTTGTTAAAATATAACAAAAGATTAAATATAACAAAAAATTCTGAAGTGATCTGCAAGCACATCAAACATGATGGAAATGATGGAAAGACACAAAAGACACAATGTTGGGAATTTGTTTTATGTGTCACTAAAGTGCATCCCTGTCCTGCTCAAATACAACAGATAAGAGATATTATGATTCTCCAAAAACAAAAACTCTATTCATACAAACTTATTTCAGTCAACACACTCCATTACTACAAAGTAAGTGCAAAATACTGCATCCAGAGTTTGAAACTAACTTTTTCACTCACCAGCCAATTTGGCTACTACATTTTTAAGTTACCGGCCATTCATATTTTTTTCTCCGGCATCTTGATTGATGCTTATAATGAAATTGTGACAAAATCCCCAAATTGGCAACACTGGTGATGAGAGAACGTGCTTGAGAAACAGTTTAGAGAGGAGAAATCAATCTACATATAAAATATTGGTCACTTTCGAAACAATTAAAGTATAGCGCATCCACTAGTAATTATATATTAATAATATATCATTATTATTGGCCGGCCGCCATTTCACCCTGTAGCCCAAGACTGGTTGCCCACTGAAGCTAAGCAGGGCTGAGCCTGGTCAGTACCTGGATGGGAGACCTCCTGGGAAAACTAGGTTGCTGCTGGAAGAGGTGT